TTTTAGTGGAATGAGGTAGGAACTATTAACATTTTCGTTTTTGTATCCCTAATAGCTAGCACAATTCTAGAGACATTGCAAGTATTTAATAAGTGCTTGTTGAATTTAATAGTCCATCCATAAACATTAATTTAACTCTTGGTGCTCTAAATGGGACATTGTTGTCCATCAACCAATGAAGTTATATGTCACAGAGAAAATGAATCACATCAATATGGGCATTCTTATTGTAAATGGAATGGGAAGACATAAGAAAATTACAGTTTAGGTTGAAGGATGCTTCATGAGTTCTCTTTGGAAAGGCAAATGAAAAAGTTGGTGAAGTAGGTTTCATCATGTACCCCAAAGGAAAAAGGTACCCCAAAGGTCATTTCATGGGTACTTGGTCATTTCACCCTGTAGTCCTCACGATAAGCAAAAACAAAACAGACCACTATGAAGACAATTGCAATCTATTACAGTGGATGAAGGATAGAACATTAACAAAGAATTTAATGAGGGACTTCAAACCAAGACAACATTTATGTATCTGATGACATAATTGTAAAAGTGGACACAGGGATGATGGGGAAAAAATAAGTTAGAAAATATATTTCAGAGTTAAACAATGAATGAGGCCAAAAGATGAAAAGATTTCTTATAAATCTCTTGCCTTTCTACAGATCACAGATATTTTTTTCAATAAATGAATGAAAAAGCATTTATTGTGCACGTAGTCTATAAAGGACTGTCCTAAACACATGGGACACAAATAGAAAAGCAAGACAATGTCTGTTCTCAAGGAGTGCTACTACCATATTCACAAACTCTGAAGTTCCTTCATCTGAACACAATATATTGCCATTCTACCTCTTCTTCTGCCTTGCAACTCCTAAACCTGTCCTTTGTACTTGCTGGGACCATTAATCCCTCCATTCCTCAGGTCTTTCCCAGGCTAACACCACTGCATTGGCTATACTCTCCTCCCTCTGCCACGTGCACTCCTTGGTAAACCAGTGAAACTACACAGTCCTCTTCTCTCTGGTTCCTTGCTCCCTTATCTTATCAATGATCCTGACTTGCCAAACCTCAGCTTTGGATTACTCCCACCATCTGCTCCTTTCACTCCTATTCATATGCTGCTGAATGAAGCTGGAGAAAATCACGAAATTCTGCTGACTAGATCCACTGCCAATTTATGTTACATAATCTCTCCTGGGCACTCAGTAGCAAGGCAATCCTTTTACACCTCCTTAATTGATTCACTGTCCCACTCACTACAGTGGTTTTTCCAAACCTTTTCATGTCTTTTTTAAACCTTTTATATCTCTCCCTCTCCTCCCACCCTCTCAGTTGAAAACTTGTCTCGTATTTCACTGAAAAAAAATTAAGGCCATTTGCTGAGAGCTCCCTCTTCTCCCCTTTCCTCATCTCATATCACTCGGATGACTTTGGCAATTTCTCCTTCACTCCTCTTCCACATGAAGGGGCCTACACACATGTCCATGCCCAGCCCCACCCCCATGCCTAGATCTCCACTAGCTCTCATCCCATATTTCTCCTCCCTTCTGCGGCTAAACCTCTTGAGAAGGACATCTAAAAGAAATGCCTCTACTTCCTTTCCTTTCATTTTCTTTTTTTTTAATTCATTTTCTTTTTAATGCCACAATTTGGCTCCCAACCTCATCCTTTAACTGAAACTGCTCTCTCTGAGTGAACAATGATCTCTTAATTGCCAAATGTAATGGATTTTTCTCAATTCTCATTCTTTCTTCTTGACCTCTCTGAAGGCTTTGGCACTGCTGATCGCCATATTTCCTTGATACACTGTTCACTCTAGATTTTCATGACACTACCCTATCCTGATTCTTCTACTACCCATTTAACTACTCCTTAATCTCCTTTGCTGGATTTTTATCTCCGTCACTTTCACTAAAGGTGATCTTCTAATCTCTGTCTTGGGTCTCTCTTCTCCCTCTATATTATTTCACTTGGTGATCTCATCAGATTCCATGAATTCAACTATCATCTTTTTACAGATGATTTTCAACTACTTATCCAGCCCTAACCTCTTTCCTAACCTTCTCTCTCATATATTCAGTGTCCCATTACACATCTTAAACTCAGCATGTCTAAAACTGAACTCATTATTTTTATCCTGAAGCCCTCCCCTCTTCTGAACTTCCCTATTACTTCTGAGGGTACCATTATTCTCCTAATCATTCAGCCTCTCATTCTAGATGTCACTCACAATTCTTTACTTTGTCTCATCCCCCATATACAATCTGTCACCAAGTCCTATCAATTTTGCCTTTGTAACATCTGTAGCAGAGCAGCTAGGTGGTGCAATGGATAGAGTGCTGGGCCTGGAGTCAGAAAGACTCACCTTCCTGAGTTCAAATATGGCTTCAGACACTTACTGTGTAAGCCTGGGCAAAACCCTTAACTATGTTTGTCTCAGTTTCTTCATTTGTAAAATGAGCTGGAGAAGGCAATGGCAAACCATTCCAGCATCTTTGCTAAGAAAATTCCAGTGGGGTCATGAAGGGTCAAACATGACTAAAAACGACTGACAATAAAACATCTCTAGCACGCACCCCTTTGTCTCCTTTGATACTGCCACAGCCCTGGTGCATAACCTCATCCCCTTGCACCTGAATTATTGCAGTAGCTTGCTGGTTGGTCCTCTCTGCTTCAAGCCTTTCTCCACTCCAGTCTATATTTCATTCAGCTGTCAAAATGATCTTCCTAAAGAACAGGACTGGCTGTGTCATCCCTCTATTCAATAAACTCCATTGGCTCCCTATTAACTCCAGCGTCAAATTTAAAATCCTGTGTTTGGCTTTAAAAAACCCTTCATAACCTGACTCCCTCCTACCTTTCCAATGTCCTGATACCTTACTGCTCCCACCCCCCACATAATCTATGATACACTGGCACAGTCCTCCTTGCTGCTCTTTGACCAAGATATTCTGTCTCTGACTGTGGGCACTTTTTCTGGCTATTTTCCGTGCCTGGATTTCCCCCCACACCCCCCTCATCTTTGCTTCCTGGATTCCCTAGTTTCCTTTAAGTCCCAGCTAGAAATCCTATCTTCTACAAGAAGCCTTTCCCAATCGCCCTTAATGCTAGTACCCTTCCTCTGTTGATTATTTCTTTTTTTTTTTTTTAGGCAATTGGGGTTAAGTGACTTGCCCAGGGTCACATGGCTAGTGAGTATCAAGTGTTTAGTCTGAGGCCATATTTGAACTCAGGTCCTCCTGACTTCAGGGACCATGCTCTATCCACTGCACCAACTAGCTGCACCCTGTTGATTACTTCTAATTTGTCCTGTATATAGCTTGTTCGTACATAGTTGCTTGCATGTTGTCTCACCCATCAGATGGTAGGCTCCTTTTGTCGTTGTTGTTTAGTTGTGTCTGACATTGTGTGACCCCATTTGGGGTCTTCTTGGCAAAGAAGATACTAGAGTAGTTTGCCATTTCCTTCTCCAATTCATTTTACAGATAAGGAAACTGAGGTAAACAGGGTTAAGTGACTTGTCCAGGGTCACATAACTAGTAAGTTCCTGAGGCTGTATTTGAACTCAGATCCTTCTGATTCCAGAGCCAGCACTCTATCCACTGCACCACATAGCTGCTCTAGCTCCTTTGGAGCTCGCTATCTTTTGCCCTTCTTTGTATCCCCAGTACTTAGCACAGTATCTGGCACATAGTAAGTGCTTAATAAATGTTTATTGACTAAATGACTATGTTCACACTTTGATGGGAAGAGAATATATATAGGGAATTTCAGATGCAAATGAAATGGAAAGGGTACATGGTCTTTAGGATGCAGCTGCAAACAAGATGGTAATGCCTCTTCTTTAATGTCATTTGTATTGAACAAATCATACTTCTGATATTCAAGCATTTGAGAGTGTGGAGAGTCAACTCTGGGAACACCTACCAGATTCTGTTATCATATACAGTGCTAACCCATACAGGCTAAGGTAGTTTTGTTGTTTTTTTTTTCCTCGAAAGGCAGGAAAACTATTCTCAAGGCTTGCTTGGTTCAAGGGACTAAAGCTCAAGCTGCTCATGTAGCTCCCTGATCACCTGGATAGAAAAGACAGCACACAATATGTAGGGCTTCTGACCTTTCTCTAGCATCTGATGGGCAGTACAGCACCATGGGCAGCAAAGGAAAGGTAGGGTCATCTGAATCAGTGCTGTATCCTCGCTGAATATACATCCCCTATTGTGGCTAAGCAAGCCTCCTTTTGTTAACTGCTAAATGTTCCAGAAGTATACAATTTTGTTCCAATATTGAACCTGAAGTACCAGCCAAACTGAGTCAGGCCTGGTATTTTCAAGCTCCAATCTTCCCTCCTACCAGAAACTTCCCCTTCTTTGTTATATTGCACCGATCCCTAGTCATATGACATTGAAATAATGGAGTCACTCCCTAAAGGAGACAGAATAGGTTCAGCTATATGAAGTGTTTTACTCTCAGCTTAGGAACAATTGGTAACAAGTGAGAAATAGATATATAGATACAGATAGACATATGCACATACATATACACACATATACATATACAATGTGTGTATATGCATATATATACACATAAAATATTTATATATAAATAAATATACAAAATATAGAAATATACAGCATATAAAATATACATAAATAAAAATATATAAAATATGCATAGATATAAAGGTAAATACATAAACATAGATGTAAAGTATATGCAAATATACATATATAAAGTAAAATAAATCAATAATCAATAAACATTTAAGTGCCTACTATGTGCCAGGCACTGTGCTAAACACTGGGGATAAAAAAAAAAGAAGCAAAAGACAGTCCTTGCCCTCAAGGAGTTTATAATCTAATAGAAGAGCTTACAATCTACATAAATATATAATCTACATAAATAAATATATGTGTAAATATATGCATATATACACATATATAAGTAAATATTTTTATATACGGCCTTTGGCATATCAAAGCAATCTTCACTCACCTGCTTTGAACCTCCACTCTCTGGATTTGTTATATACTCTGTGAACACACCTCCTAAAAGATATTAAAAGAGTATAGATAACATAATAGAGTTGTCATTTGATATTTGATTCATTTCATCAAGTAAGACCAGTCATCAGTTGAATACTCAAGATCGTGGTATGGACTTCTGGCAAAGGTATATAGACTCAGGATCCAGTGCACGATAGAACTTTTACGGCCAATAATGTTTGGTCCATGCCCTGACACTGACAGCAACCTCCGAGTGTTTTTCTCCATAATTAAACCATCTACTATATTTGCATCTTTAGTGGCTAACAGTTTGAAGCAAATTGTTCAGATGACTAACCTTCAATACACACCCATGCCACTAGAGACTGACAAGCCTTTCTCCTTAGAATTCCCTCCACATGTGCTTGCTTACCCCAGACATGACTAAGCCATGCAAACCTTTTACTCTAATATTTTTTCCTTTTTTTTTTTTTTGGTGACGCAATCAAGGTTAAGTGAGGTTAAGTGACTTGCCCAGGGTCACACAGCTAGTAAATGTCAAGTGTCTGAGGCCGGATTTGAACTCAGGTCCTCCTCATTCCAAGGCCAGTGCTCTATCCACTGCACCACCTAGCTCCCCCTTCTACCCTAATTTTCACAAGGGCTCTAGAGCAGGGGACATGGTGTGGCAATTTTCACCAGCATTGGGTTGAGCCAAATTATCATTTGTTCAACTATAGTATTGACAAAGTGGATGTAGTCAATCTGTGGAGAGCCAGTAGTCTCTATGTAAGAAAACAATGGCTGCCTCTGTCTCATATTTGGGTAGTCTTTCGTTCTCTCTGTCTCTCTCTTTCTCTTAGAAGTTTTGACCTACTCTATTTCTGACCTGGACTATATCTTCCCACTTTAGGCAACCTGGTAATACTCCCTTCCCCACCCTCTGGGGCTTGTGTATTGGTGCCAGACTTAGTGAGGCCACTGGACCAGCTCTCGCTCTTCCAAGTCCAAGTGATCCACTAGCATCAGTCTCCCCCATCATCCTATTGTGTCATCATCCTATTGTAGTCTCTTGAAGTATCTTGTCATAGCTCCACTGGGATCCTCAGAGGAACAGGAATATGTTGGTTTGACAGGTTACTTCGATATGCCAATGGCCATATAGAAAAATATTTGTGTGTGTGTATATATATGTACACATATATGTATATATGTGTGTGTATCTATATTTTATGTTATGATATATATACATATATAAGTATGTTAGCATTAAAAGTCTTTTTAAAAATTTATTTTATTTTTAATTTATGGAATAAAATATTATTTCTATAACAATATCATAAAAAATGATTGCACATGACACTGCACATCTATTATGTGCAACTTGCTATTCCTTTTAAATATATAATAAAATTATCATCTAAATCTATTTTTTCTTTTTTTCCTTTTTTCTCTTCTTCTCCCCCCCAAAAAAGTCTTCTTTTCTCACTTAATTTCTAAGAGATTCTCAACTTTTTGGTCCTGTTTTTGGCTTGTTTTGCAGTAAAACAATCCCTTTTATACCCACACTGGAATCCTCTCAGTCTTAACCTAGAGGTTATAGGGCTCTTGTGTTGAGAGATCCTCAGTGAGTTGGCTTGATTCTAATTTGGTTCAGATTTCCCAAGTTTCCTATGAATTCCATCAGAATGATCTAACAGGTCTAATACTTTCCCATCCTCCTTAGACTTCTGTAGACATATCTTGCCTGTAGACTTAGAGGCAGCCTAGAGGCTCCTAGGCCTGAAGGTGTGCTGTCTGTACTAAGGGAAATCAGAACACAGTTTTCCTAATTAGGGGACTAAGATACCAGCATGTTTACTATGTGCCCAGGACTTTTGGAAGGGTACTTAGAGTAACTCCGAAGCTGTAACATATTTCTAAATATTTTGTATACCTATAACACAGAAGGCTATTTTATGTGCTTTGGGAGAAAGAAAAATGAAGAACAGTATTTAATTCATTCCACTCACATTTATTAAGCACCTACTAAGTGCTAGGTACTATGCCACAGACTGAGGGAGGGGACTGTGGGTGGGGGTGGGGAGATACACCAAAATCAATACCTGACCTCAAGTAGCTTACATCCCACTAGGGGGAAACAATGTACAGGTCAATACAAGATAAATGCAAAGTAATCCTGCTGTTAGGGAGGATTCAGGAAGGGCCTGGTATGTGAGGGAGTAGTACTTGTGCTGATTTTTTAGGGACTCGATGGATTTGAGGAAGGAGCATTACAGGAAAGGGGAGAGTCTGTGCAAAGGTGGAGAGATGGGAGACCAAATATTATCTAGGTGGAACTGCAAGTAGGCCAGTTTGAGCAGAAGGTAAAGCACATAAAGGAGTGTAATATATAATTATCCCAGAAAACAAAGGCTAGTTAGAAGTTGTGATGGGTTTAAATGCCAAATAGGAAAGTTTATATTTTATTCTAAGGCAATAAGAAACCATTACAACTTCTCAAACAGGGAAACAACATAGTTACGCTTATGCTTTAGGAATGTTAATTTGCTGCCTGTGTGAAGGATAGATTAGAGAGTGGAGAAACTTGAGGTAGTAAGACCAGTTAGAAGGCTATGCTAGGTGGCTCAGTGGATAGAGCACTGGGCCTGGACTCAGGAAGACCTGAGTTTAAATTTGGCCTCAGATACTTAGTAGTTGTGTGACATTGGGTAAGTCACTTAACCTCTGTTTGCCTTAATCCGCTGGAGAAGGAAATGGCGGACCAATCCAGTATCTTCACCAAAAAAAAAACCCACGGACAGTATTAGCCTGTTATGTTCCACAGGGTCTCAAAGAGTCAGACACAACTGAATGACTGAACAATGACAACACAATAATCCAGGGGAGAGGAGATGAGGACCTGGACTAGGTTTATGGACAATTAAGTGGAGAAAAAGGGACAAATACAAGAGATGTTAACGGAGGTAGAATAAGTCAAAAAAAAATTAATTAGTAAAAAGTTGGTAACTGATTAAAAACGGAATGGGAGAGGAAAAGAGAAGAATCAAATGCATAGAGTTCTAGAGAGTGAGTCAGAAAGACAGATACCTAATAGCTTTGTGACCTTGGTGAGTCACTTAGTTTCTCTATGCCTCAGTTTCCTCACCTGTAAAAAAAGAGTTTGGACTCAATGGCTTCTAATATCCCTTTCAGCTCTGATCCTGTAACTCTAAGATTATAGACCTCAGCACTTGCAAGAACAGTGGGATCCTCAAAGGAAACAGGGAAGTCATGATAAAGGTGGACTTTGGGGAAAAAAAATTAGTTCAGTTTTTTACATGTTGACTATGTGAATTTCCAAATAGACTTTTAGTTCAAAGCACTATGTCCTGATATATTGTTGAATTTCTTCCATAAGGCTCCTTAGATCAAAATGATTTCCAATAGCAACTTGCTCCATCAATCAATCAACAAATATTCATTAAGCATCTACCGTGTGCCAGGCCAAGCATTGTGCTAGGAGATACAGGCACAAGTACAAAGAATGAAAAACTCCTACTCACAAGGAGCTTGTATTATGCATTGAGTCCAACGATAACATATTCTAATGATGAGCAGGCAGACTTAGAAAAACCTGGAAAGATTTGTATGGTCGGATACTGAGTGAAGTGAGTAGAACCAGGAGAACGTTGTGCACAGTAACAGCCACATTGTATGATGACTAACTTTGATAGACTTACATCTCCAAAGGTCTCATGATGGAAAATGCTCTCCACATTCAGAGAAAGAACTATGAAGTCTGAATGCAGATGGAAGCATACTATTTGCTCTTTTTTTCCCTTTGGTTTTGTTTCTTCTTTCTTGTAGCTCCTCCTATCGGTTCTTATTCTTCTTTACAACATGAGTAATGTGAAAATATGTTCAATAGGAATGTATATGTATAGCCCATATCAGATTACACGCCATCTTGGGGAGGGAGGTGAGGAGGGCAGGGGAGAAAATTTAAAACTCAAAAGCATATGGAAGTGATTGTTGAAAACTAAAAATAAATTAATTAATTAAAAAAAAACAATAACATATTCTAACAAGAAGAGCCATAACTAGACCTGAACTACTAGGGCTTTGTTCCACAATGGGAAATTTAAAGGACATGAAAATTGAACACATGTACTCCTTCAGTGAAGTAGAAGCAGAAAATGAGAGTACACCTTCAAGCCCTAAGTAAGAATGGGCAAGAAGAAGTTCTGGTCCACGGCTCATCCTCTCTCACTTTGTTCTGGGGCAGGGCCTAACTCAAGCAGTCATTTGCATGGCTCAGTGGATAGAGCTCTGGGCTTGGAGTCAGGAAGATCTGAATTCAAATCTGGCCTCAGACACTTACTAGCTGTGTGACCCTGGGAAAGACACAACCTCAGTTTCCTAAACTGTGAAATGGGAATAATAATAATATTAATGCATATGATAATAATATTAAATATATTAATAATAATAATATTAATAATAGCACCTATCTCCCAAGGCTGTTGTGAGGATCCTATGAGATAATAATATTTATGAAGTGCTTAGCACATGTTGTTGTTTGGTCACTTTCAGTCACGTCCAACTTTCTGTGACTTCATTTGGGGTTTTCTTGGCAAAGATATTGGAGTGGTTTGCCATTTCCTTCTCCAGTTCATTTTACAGATGAGGAAACTGAGACAAACAAGGTTAAGTGACTTGTCCAGGATCACACAACTAGTAAGTGTCTGAGGCCAGATGTGAACTCAGGAAGATGAGTCTTCCTGACTCCAGGTCTGATGCTCTATCTAAGCTGCCCTTAAATGCTTTTTTCCTTCCTTCAAATCAGTCCCATGGTAATTTCGGTTTAATATTGGAACAAAATGAGATCCTCATGGTCGTTTCAACAGTTAACAATAAGAGATTTACTTAGCCATTGCAGAAAGGTATATAATAAGAACAGGCTTGGAGAACACCTCAGGATAATTCAGCTGAGCAAAGACCCCTTGCCTGAGTTATCAATTGTAATTCACCATTTAAAAATCAGAGATCGTGCCTGGCACTCTTTGTGTCTGTTTTGTACC